CTCAGGTCTCCTACCTCCAGCTTATAAGTAAATCATACAGGATATTAAAATTCCATGATTTTATGGGAAAAATTAAGTAGAAAAAGAGAGTAGGGCATGCTAGGGCAGATTGCAATGTAAAATCGGGTAATTAGGGAAGACTTGACTAAGATATGTCATTTGACTAAAGACTTGAAGGAGGTGAGAAAGCCAGAAAGATATTTATCTATGGGAATATAGATATTTATCTATGGGAAAGGTGCTCAGGCAGAGGGAATAGCAATTGCAAAGTCCCTGAGTCAGGACTGTGTCTGGCACTCACAGGAGCAATTTTGCATATGCCACTTTACCAAAGTAGATGACGGCTATTTATCACAAAACAACCATTTTTGAGTCCTGCTATTACTTTGAGAAAATGCAAAACATTAAAAAATGATCTGTCATGTCTCCTTTCTAATAATTTCAAAGCAGCATTTTTGTAACTTTCCCTTCCACAATTAAAAACAGAAATAGATAGATGAGACTAAGAAGAGTTAAAAAGCAAGAGCGAGGAAAAAAAGAAATTCATTACCGTCATTCCTCATTGCTGACGATGTGCTATAAAGGATGGACAAAAATGTTAAGCAAGTGAAAACAGAAACAAGCCCAGATTTTAGTATATGTTTCTTTTGAGATGAAAATTGTCATCCTTGTTAATTTTTCTTCACCACGTCTAAGCATTATGGGTTGAATGGCACGGATGCTCCTATTGGTAATATAGGCACTAGGCTAGAGGTAAACCTAATGAATCTGACCTGCCCTAGAAAGAATTTGCAGAGCTGATCTTGGCTAAAGTTAAGTTGGTGTTTGTTGTTGCATTCACTTTGCCCTAGACTTCTCCAAACTCTCCACCAACCAGTTGATATTGTTTCTGATTTACAGGAATTAGAGATTAAACAGCTTGCAACAGAGGCTGCCCAGCCAGATCCTGGCAGAACTGATGTGCAGCTCATGAATGCCTGGCTGTTTTGCTCCTCTGTGTAACAGATGGCTTGTTTCTAAGGACAAAGTTCTTTATTTTCTTTCAAGTATTCCTTGGGTTGTATAAAGAATGGGGGTTCTGGCAGCTTGGTGTTCACCCTCCTCAACTGTAGAAGACATTCATCAAGGTCTAATGAGAAGAGATCTTAGACTCAGAATCAAGAGAGCAGGACATAGATTCCACATTTTTCACTAACTAATGAAGCAGTTTATAAAAATGAGCTTTTTATCCTCTTCAAACCTCAGTATCCTCACTTTAAAAAGGAAGACAAGAGTTGCTGTTTCTATAGTTTTCACAGGATGTTCAAAAAAAGTGAGATAGTATATCAAAGTGCATTAAAATTAGTCTTTAGCAATAAAAGGATTTGGTATTATTCTGTCTTATTTTTCCATTTTTTACTCATGAATAAATCTTAAGATTTTTCCAACCTGCTTATTCCCAAGTTTAACTTCCTAAATTTCCCTAACCTCCTCTGTCTTCTTTATCTGTATTTACTACTTAAGCTGTTATGTTTCACAACTAACTTATTTTTAAGTTAAATTCTTTTGACTCAACTCATTTACTTAAACATTCCTTAATACTATAGTTTTGTTGATTCTTTTTCTCATATATCCTCTTGTCTGCAGTTAATTTATATATATTCTTAGGTGACACTGGCGGACATTCACTTTGATATAGTACAAGGAACCCAGCAGTCAACTAGATTTAATCCAAGTCTCTGACTGTACTTGTTTGGCCACACTGCTCCCATCTGCCCGGACCAACGAGATGAAATGCAAGTGCCTGGCTCTCTTGAACAGAAGGGATACATATGCATTTGGGTGGAAGTATGGAATCCATGCTGAGTAAGGTTATGAAAAAATGTGGGGAGCCCAAAAAAGCAGCATAACTGAGGTGACACAAGAAAATGATGCTGTTCTGAGCTAATTGGAAAGTCAACCACAACTCTTTAAGGAGACTGAAGAGTTCTGTTTTCCCCATTTTTCTCATTTTTCCCTAATTTACCCATTTTTATAGGCAATTGTTTAATGACTTTTCTTAGAAATATAACTTAGTCTCAAAAACTAATGTGAAGATTGAGTCAAGAGAAAAAAACATTTCTTCTCTGATGAATTATCTGATGTCCTTGAACGGTAAGCTGATGTTGATTCCTCTTTCTCCTCGGCGATTTATTCTCTACTATGTCTCCCTGTCTTTATTCTGTCTACTTTATTCCCTCCAATCCTTTACTCTTTTTACCTTTTAAACTTTTTTTTTTTTTTTGCTATAATATTTGGTCCGTTTAGTCTCTTACCCCTCTTAGACTGTGATCCTCTTGAAGTCAGGGATTATATCATTCTTACAGTACTTCTATTTCCAGCTTCATATCCTAATACAAGTCCTCGATAAGGTGATGAATGAATTTCTCAGGCTTGATTTAATTGTTTATAGACTCATTCTGTTTTCACAAAATTAACATTCGATATCAAATAGCAAATAGCAAAACAGTGGAGGAATCCATGCAACTTCTACTTCCAAACGTCAGTGTAATGATTTCAAGCTAGATACCTTGGAGCCTTGGGGGCTCCTTAAATTCTGGAGGAAAAATTTAAAAGCAGTATTCTGTGAGAAATTATGTTACACATCAAGATCTCCAGAAAGAGATGGTGAGACTAAAGTTGGGGAGCAAGATGTTTGTTAGGTATCGACACTCATGAAGGTTAGAAGGAAGCACAGTTGGACAGAGTGAGAGGCCAAAGTTTGCTATAGGTCCAAAAAGCCTCAGCCACCCTATGTCAGAGTGGAGGTAGAGGACATCTGAAGCAAATATTGCTTGTTAGAGATGTCCCAAGTTTTGGACTAGCAGGCTTTTTGCAGCTGCAGTCTACCCTGAGGGAGCTGACCATTTCCAGCTGTCAGCTGACTATGCTCTCCACAGCTGGGCAAAAAGTCTCTTCTTGAAGAGAAATCTGTATGGCATGTCTCCCCGTCAACCCCTTGACTTGTCAACACTATAATTGTATATAGAGATTAAAAAGTGCACCTGCTGCCAAGTTGGCATTGAGGAGTTTAATTCCACACTGAGCAATATTGAGTCAACTGTGAAAGTGACCTATGAAACATCTCTGTGGTTACGTCTTTTAGAGCTCACATTTCCTTCTTTGTTCATAGCTCAGCTATCCCTTCCTTGGTGCAGGTTGTAAATGAGTCCTAAAACTCAAACTCCATGCTTTTGCCAACTGGGCACAGCAACTGGTTGATCTGTTGCAACTTCAGTTACAGAAAAGGTTGACATTATTTTTGGGTGGTAAAATTACTAGCAATGCCTATGCCTAGTGTCACTGTCCTCAAATATAAAATACTAACAAAGGAGCAGTGGTCATATGCCAGTCTGAAATGAGTGGGAACTATAAACATTAATCAGAGAGACTTTGCAATTACTGAAACATTTGTGAGAAAGCAGTTATAAACCATTGCAAATGGTTTCCTCTTCTGTCTCTCCCCTGATTGACACCTCTTCATTCTATGGTGTCTTCCCTTGCTTGTTTAGACAGTTTTGATTTTTACAAGCTTATTCCCCCTTGGGGAATAAATGAGGACAGTGAGAATTGACTGGAATTGATTATGTGAACTACAGAGAAGGTCACCCTTTTGAAGCGATCACATCTGTGAAAATCTGAGGCTGTTCCCAGTGGTCCATAAAGACTGCATGGTTTCCTGGGAAGGCCCAACTAAAGCTTTAGTGTTGTCTGAAGATTCTTTCCTCCTGGGGCTTCACATATGTAGGAACATAATTCTTTATAGCATGAGCAGAAGTGATGCCAACACTGATTAAAACCTAACTTAAATGGCTTGCCAAGCACCGAGCAAAAAGAAGTCATCGAGACTGTACGATTTTTTTCTTCCTTTTTCAGATGTGGATAATTACTATACAGTTGCACCTTCAAGAATCACAATGAGGCAGTTCAACGGCAACATATACATTGGACAGAAGTTGAGAGAACTATTTGACTTCTTCAAGTACAAAAACTGGATAGGGGAGGTCATTTAAGACACTATCTCGTACTCTGGGTTAGAATTATGGGATGGTTTTGATTTAACCTAGGTTCAGTAACCGGAATCACTACCACAATGTACTACTTACAGGCATAATCCATGTATCTGATATGCATCTTTGTTATAAAGGGTTAATTTCTGGAGTATTTGTGCATACGTGTGTGTGTGTGCGCTTTGCGATACGAAAGGCATAGCAACCACCAAGTGTCACTCAGAATACTATACTAGATGGCAAACTTTTCACCCCAGGCTTGCAATCCCAGTTGAGCTTTAAAATAGTTCATAGCTGAGCAGAGAATGAGGTTTTAGATGTCCATGTTTACTGATCATTTACTGTATATCAGCCTTAGTCCTGAAAGTGCTATAAACACGCATTCATTATTTAATTAAGTTCTTACTGCAAATATTATTAGGTACCACTGTTATCTCTATTTTACAGATGAAGAAAGAAATTGATACTTCAGAAATTTAAGCAATTTGTCTAGGGTCCCTCACTGAAATCAACCATTTGTGGTTCCAGAATTGACGGTCATCTAGCTAATAAATGGCAGAGTTGAAATGTGAACTCAGGTCTTTTGACTTCAAGGTTCAGGCTTTTAACCAGCTTAACAGCTTTGCTCTTTAGAAAACAACCTGTTATGTAGATGATATATCTATCAGAAGCTGAACCCAGGACCAAATACACACATATACCCACATCATGAAACAAAATAAACAAAAAAGCAGTTAGTTAAAACCTCTGCCTAATTTACGGTTGCTCAAAAGGGAAAGAAATGACTTTTCCGAAAGGGTTTCTCTCCTTTTCCCTGCATTAGCTCAATGGGACCCACACTCCAGGTACCCAGGCTTTTCTGGAAAACCCAGATGTGTGCTTTGTTTCCAGGATACCTGAGATACAAGAATGTTCTCCTGCCTACTTCACAATCTCTGCTCTGACCTCCCAAACACTCCAAAGTCAGCAGGAGGAAGGAGAAATGAGAGGGAGGCCTCTGTCTCCTAATCTTTTCCATAGGCTGCTGTTTTCTTTCTTTCCTCATGAGGAATATCGATAAAAACAAAATAAACAAATTAGCTACCACTTCTGAAAATCCCCAGGAAATTCCTTTTCCAGAGTTCTCACTTACTAATTTGGCTAACATTACCTCTGGTAACAGACCCCATGTATCTGCCACAATTGCTGTGAGTTGCACAGGAAAAAGACTGGGAGGAAATCTTCACTTTTCTTCTGCAACAGCAACCAACAGAAATGAAAGAGCCAGGGGATTTTGCAAAATATCAACTCCTGAGAACTAAGAACGAGAGCCCTTCTTGCCAAGCCTATTCTGTGCCAGTCATCATAAAATACTGTAAGTTGCCATCCTATAGCAATGTTATCATCAAACAGCATATTATAATTTTTACTATCCTGTATTTTGCTCTGTGTGTGTGTGTGTGTGTGTGTGTGTGTGTAAGGAGTGAGAGGCTGTTGGTCAGCCGGAGATGAGAACTAAATAGTTGTTGTTATTGTTATTTTTTCTCAAGATGACCCTTCCCTCCAGAAGAACAATGTGCTGTGATCTTTGGCTACTCAGGCTTTACATCATCCATATTACCCTGCAGCAGGAACAGATTGATGGGTATTTTCGCTGCCCCCAGAGAGTTACCCTCTAATCCTTCATTTGCCGCTCCAGCACAATTGCACAGAAGCAATAGCTGGGATAGTTAGAGTGCATACAATTGATTCCAATCTATCCATCACTTAAACTACCGTCTAGGACATCAGGAGGCCACAAAAAAAAAAAAAAAAAGAAAAGAAAGAAAGAAAGAAAAAAAGCAAAACTTTTGAATCAAGAAATGCTTTGTCCATTCCAGGTCAAGGAAAATCATGATGCAATTTGGTTTGATACTTTGACTTTAAAAAAGTTTCTCATTTCTCAGTAGAGAAAGTTTAATGTAGTAAAGAGGTAATAGTGGCAGTAATAAGCATTTTTCAACTGCATTTGTGGAAGAGCAGCTTCTACCTACCACTATCTTTGGATTCCAGCATTAATTTTACTGATTGGGGCATTATGAAATTTTAAGTGGGAAAGATACTTAGTAACTTAAATAATTTTAATGCAAAATAATACCACCTATTGTCTAAAAGACTAGTCCGGTTCCTTAAGGGGATCAGAGACACAGACACCAGCTACAAGCTGTGTATTATCTGGGAGCAGGGGGAAGCATACACATATACTGATAATAAATACAAAGGACTCTAAAATGGTTTCCAGTATTTACTGACTCTTCTATGATACTGTATTTAAGGCCATGGAATCTAACCTTAAATTTTCCAGCCACCTAGCTCTACACCCATGGCTGCAAGAATCAAAAGAGTCCATGCTAAAAATGGAAAGACCATTAAAACTTGGAATTGTAGGAAGAGGAAGGAGACAGGAAGGACACTCCAGGCAGAGAGAATATACTGGAGTCAAAGAGATTAATAAAATGTTCCATAGGAGGCATTAAGAGGGTGCACCTGGTTCTCAGGTTTGCATCTTCTTCGACAACTGTCTGTGGTTAAATACAACCTTAAAGGAGCAATGAAAAAAGAGAAAAGCTATCTCCACCAAGAATAGTGCACTGTAAAAGTGTTAGGTATTTCTTTCTCCTCATAATTCTAAGGGACAAGTCTTTGCAGTTAGAATTTGAGTTTAATTTTTTGAATGTGAAAATAAATTGCACATGTGGACACGCTTTTTGCAACTCGTGTGATTTAGAAAAACACAGGCAAATCTATTGCTTTCATACTTACATTATAAATGCCAGATACATAACCACAATTTAGGTCTGATTTTTTTTCAACTCAAACAATAGTGTTCCCCTAGGGAAAATTGGCTTGACTGAGGTAAATACTAGAAGTTAATGTTGTGAACTCTTGCAGAATAATTTGTTGGCAACTCAAGACCTTGTTTTGCCCAAGTTTTACTCCAAAATAATTTTCTTACTCAGAGTTGATACAGGCAGTGGCAATTCTCACTTTAGTGTATGGCAGTCACATGACTAAGTCAACTTGCACGCTGAAAGAGCAGGGACAGACATCTCAGACTAGTGGAAAGGACCTAATTATTTCAGTGATAAGGACTCTGAAGCCCAAAGAAGTAGGTGATTAGTTCAAACTCATGCTGCTAATTAGTGGATAGGGCAGAACTACTACTAAGTTTAAGTTAATAAGCTTTCAAAAATATTGCCCTAAAGGAACATAGAGGGAAGAAACTTTGGCAGGACAATGGCTTTTTGTGTCCCACATTCTTCCACGTGGGGCGATGACTCCAACTCACCCCCATCTTGTGGGGCCAATCAGCAGGGGTGGGCCCACATCAGTTTTAATATTTTCTCCTCTTTGAGTCAGAACTTTAGGGCTTAGTACAAAAGCTTAAGGCAAATATCCAAAAACTGCCCTTCCTGGGGAAAAAGTCAATTTCTGCTCTCTTGAACTTCAGTTCTTCCGAACTGAACTTCAGGGTCTCCCTGACTCTAAGGAATTAAAGAGAAATTAAACAGTTGAATTTATTCGTCTCTATCTCCGAGATTTAGAGAACACAAGAGATCACCGAACAAAGAAGCTCTGCTTTTGTTCACTGAAAGAGGAGAGATGGACAGCCGGCTGAAGGTATTGATACAATGAGCCACAGGGCAGACAGTGTTGCTCCTTCCACCACGCTCAGGAGGGCTCCCATGTAAGGTACCAGAAACAGTACACACAGAGAAATGACATCCTATTAACAGGGCCCATCCGCCAGGGAGTAGACAGAACAGAAAAATCTGAAGAGACCACTAAAGAAATAGAGCTGTTTCTTTTAAAGCTAGATTTGAAAGAAGTAGGAGAATATGTAAAGAAGTCCAATATATAGCAGTTGGCACAGTACCTGGAACTAAAACCACATGATTTTTTAAATTTAAAGATTTAATAGATAAAGTAAAAGAGAGAGCTGCGTTATAGATGCTCCAATTGGTGGCTTGAAAGATCAGGTGGAAGTATATGTTAAATCATAGAGGAATACAAAGAAAAACTATATGAAAATATGAGGGAAAAATGTACATTTTGAAAGATAGATTCATGAGGAAATACAGAAGTTCTAGAATGAGAAAAACAGACAGATGAAGGAGAGACAATCATCAAGCAAATAACTGAAGGCAATTTTCCTGAATACCTGGGTCAGCAGATCTAAATAGTTCCTCAAGTTCCAGACAAGATGCTAAGATAACAAATACACCTTGGTAAAAGAAGCAAAAAAGAAAAAAGAGTTAGATTGGAGGCCGGGCATGGTGGCTTACACCGGTATTCCCAGGACTTTGGGAGGATCACTTGAGGTCAGAAGTTCAAGAACAGCTTGGGCAACATAGTGAGACACCTGCTCCAACAAAAAAATAAAATAAAAAGTTTACAAGTTAGCTGGGCATGGTGGCATGTACCTGTGGTCCTATCTAATCAGGAGGCCAATGCTGGGGGAACTTTTAAGCCCAGGGATTCGAGGTTGCAGTGAGCACTGATAGCATCACTGCACTCCAACCTGGGTGACAGAACAAGACCCTGTTTCTAAAACAAAACAAAAAAGTATGAGATTGATAATTAAGTTTTGCAATCTCAAAATTATGAGATGGTAGAACAATATCTACAGATGCTTTAGAATAAGAGACTGAATCTGTGATAAGATATTATTCACTAACAGCTTAAAAGAATGCTATTTGCAGAGATTACTTCACCTACATATCCTGTCTTAGGAAATGCTTAAGAAAGAACTCAAGCCAGAGAACAAAAACATCTAAATCTCATGATAGATGAAACAGATGAAGAGGTAAAACTGGTGAACAAAGAACTTGGTAATAGGTTTAAAATGAAATACAATTGAATACAATCTGGGAATTTGTAAACTAAGTGATAAACAAGAATTTTTTAAACAGAAGAGGCCTACTGCAAGGAAAATTCTAATCATTGCCAGAAACTAGAAGTACTAAATTATTGGAGATGGCATTTGAATGGGAGAAAGAAGAGCACAATAAAAGTATCCCAGAGGTCTCCTATGGAGGGCAGATGGGGTTGAGGGGAAGCTAGAGGAACAAGTGGAAATGTGCTAAGGGTCTGGCCTTATAGAAAGAAGGCAGATAAGCAGTAAAACATTAAAGAACTTTAGTAGAAAAAGAGTTATGATCTCACTTTCACATAATATTAAATAAATATGTATACAATTATGAACACAAAGAAAAGGAAGACAACCATTAATGAAAGATGAAATAATAGTAGGATTTCCAAGATAACAAAGAGGAAAAAGAAAATTAATAAACTAATAACAACTGAATCATACAAGTAAATTAGGAAAAAAGAAAAAGAAATAAAACAAAGTAAGGAGTAAGGTATAAAGTTAAGCATACCATGATACAAAACATAAAATACTGAATTCTCCCAACTAAGAGAGAGAATACTGACTGAAATAAAAATCAAAGTTGGACTATATACCATTTACTAGAAACACAGTTTAAAATGAAATAATAAAGTTTGAAAAAGAAGGGACAAAGACGAGGCAAATAGAATTTTAAAAATCAAGAGGCCTTGAAATTTTTTATTTTTATTTTTACTTTTTTAAGAGACAATCTTACTATGTTACCCAGGCTGGCCCTGAACTTCTCGGCCCAAGGGATCTTCCTGCCTCATCCTCCCCTCTAGCACACCCGGGACAACAGGTGTACTCCACTGCCTGGCTTAAAATAAATGCAGAAAGAAACATATTGTAATAACATGTTCTCAATTCTTGTTTCCAAAATTCTTTCTTTGTGAAATATTTCCATTTGTGGAAAGAAAAGAGCACATATTACATCTTTAAAGAGCATGCTTAGTTTTACTTTTTAAACCTGTATATGTAAACTTGTCATAATAAAGACTAGTGCAGAAAGAAAACAAAACATCAGGAGGGACAACATTACTATCAGACTAAGTACAATTTAAAGTTAAAAGTTTTAATTTAAAAAATAAATTACATAATATTAAGTATAATTTTTGAAGCAGGAAATACTCTCATAACCCTGTAGATACCAAACAACACGAAAGTTAAGTAAATAAAGCAAAAACTACTAGTAACTTAAAGATAGACAAAATAAATGATGGTGGCATATTTCAATTTGTATTTTTCAGAAGCAGGAAGATCTAGTAGACAAAATATTAATAAAGACAGAAAAGTTTAATGATATTGTCAATCAATTTAATAGGTGTGTTGAATCTTAAAATTGGGAAATAGAGAATATTTTGTTACATGAAATGGGAATTCATAAAAATAAGTCACATATTTTGTTGGATACAAATAATACTTTAATAATTTCTTTCTATCACAAA